AGAAAGCCACAGTCTAAAGGAAGGGCAGACTTATAACTTTAGTACAAGGCATACAATGACTCGGAAAGAGAATTACTCACAAAGCCCTGGTGGGAATGCCAAAACTGGAGCAATTACTTCTGACTCAAAGGCCCTAACGAGGTGTTACGGGAGGAAGTGGCCTTTGAACTGAACTGGGAAGGTGTGTTAGTGTCCTGAGGCCGCTGTAACAAATTACCACAACCCCCGTGGCTTAGAACAACAGGACTTGATTCTCTCACAGTCTGGGGGCCGGAAGTCTGAAATCAGGGTGTCAGCAGGTCTGATCTTTCTGGAGGCTCTGAGGGGAATCTGTTCCTCCCTCTCTCGTAGCTTCTAGTGCTGTCTGCAGTCCTTGGTGTTCCTTGGCTTGTGGCCGGGTCACTCTAGTCTCTGTCTTCACACGCCTCTGTCTGTGCCTGTGTCTTCTCCGCGTCTCTCTTTTATAAGGACACTGACGTTGGATTTAGCGCCCGCCTTAATCCAGGATGATCTCGTCTCAGAATCCTCACTTTAATTAGGTCGGCAAAGACCCTTGTTCCAGCTAAGGTCTCCTTCTGACATTCTAGGTAGACATATCTTTTAGGGGCCACTAGTCAACCCATTGCCAAAGAGGAGGTAGGATTTCAGTAGGCCCGAGTGGGACGGGAAGGTGCTATTCTCAAAGAGAGACTAGCTTGCACAAAGCAAAGGCGGAAACAGGGAGCACGTTCCCAAAGTTCAAAACCTCCTCCTTTGGAAAGGAAGTATCAATGCTGTCCTGAGTGTCGGATTCCTGGGGGGAGGGGGGGGGGGGGGGTTGGGGTGAGATAGCTGCAGGCCCTGAGGGATGGGGCTGTGTTGTGCAGTGGTGAGGACTCGTGGAGGGTGGCATGTGGTCAGCCTACTTTCAGAAAGAGAAACGCGTACTTCCACGCTTTTCTGGTCACTGGGCTTAATTGTATGCATTTAAACATAGACGTCGTGTTTTTCGGATTGTTTTGTTAGCCTTCGCAGATTAAACCCTCTGACACACTTTTTCCTGGTAGTGCTCTTCAGCAGCTCCCTCCGACAGTGATGTCAGGTCAGCGGAAGATGGGAAGGCTAGTGAGGTTTAACATCATCCCGCAGACACATTCCTTTCGTGGACCACTACCCCAAGTGCCAGGGAGTACTCTGTAATTATGCTGCTGCCAGTGACATAGAAAATAACAGAAGCAAGGATGGAACATTGTGATAATATCTTAACTCCAATTACCTTTTGAATAATGAGAGTTTGAACTTTTTGCCTTTGCAGGAATTTTAATAATGCATTCCAGACAACCTGATATTGTTGAATATGTTTGTTTTTTTTTTTCATTTAACTCCAAATTACTCTTATTTTCTATTTCAATACATTTCCTCCTTCAAGTGCCGTTCGAGTCTTCATCATGATGTAAATAATGCGAATAGTGCCATCGGTAATCAGGAAGTTTATACTAAATGTGGAAAAGCAGTGGCATTGTATAATATTTTGCTTTATTTTCCTAACTTAAAATGGTAACTTTTAATAATAACTTTCGCTATTAATGTTGTTTTATTACAGCAATAATAATCTATCCTTATAACAAATCAAAATACATTTTATTATAACTTGTTTTACATATTTAACATTTTGCTTTGTTTGGTCAAGTTTTTATGTTATGGATCCTCCTCAAAACCCATAACCCCTGTCTAATCGTGAGGAAAACATCAGACAGACATACAAGGAAACGAGACATTTACCAGCGTGGCAGACATCATCCTTGGCCACGTGGGAGCAGTGATGCAGAAATGGATCCGAACTTTCTAGGCAGCTATTATAAGATCTTTCTGTGTTCAGTTCTTTTCTGTGTAAGACTCGTATTTTCCGATAGATAAATGTTTCGAGAAAAATGGAATCACACTAACTTAAATTTCAGCCATCCGTTCAGTGCCTGACACTAACATTCATTCGTAGGCTGGTTCTTGTCCTGTGGCGGCGCTCACGGTGGTGTGATGACAGTGACGTCTCTCTCCACTGGTCCTAGTATCTGTGAGGCAGCGGCACATTCATTGCCCCTGCAGAAACTCCCAGCCTCTGGCACAGGGAAGCTGTTGGTAGCTGATGCTGTCTTTGCCTCGCCTGCATCCAGGTTCTCTGATGTCAGCATCTCTGTGCTGTGAGTGCAGGGCAGAAACACCAGAAGTCATGCCCCAGGGTCACCCCTAACCAGAGAGGGCAGGAGTGGTCCTTACAATGAGTTTTATGTCCTTGGCAGCCTCAGCTCTCATTACACAAAGCTGTAACCTCCCTATTGACGATCTTTTTTGACTTTTTCTTTCCCCGTCTCACTTCTGCAGGCCTCAGGGTCAGCTTTGGGAGAACCCACACTAAGACCATATGCAATGAATAGTTATTGACTGAATTATTAATATAGTAGATGGGTAAGATCCTGATCCTTGAAAGAAATTATCATCCAAGAAGGGAAAGAATATTAGAGCTACACAAATCACGATGAACGAGATATGAAGTGATGGCTGATGAGAACGAGAGGCAGGATGCTGTCTGTAATCAGAGGAAGAAGTCATTTTAAACTTCCTTCCTTCCCTTTCTCCGGGCTGTCGCCCACATCTGTGATCGTATGTGATCCACTGCTCCTGTCGAGTTGCGCACGTCCAGGTGCCCTCATTCTCCGCCATGTGTGAGCCTGGGGGGCAGAGACTGGGTCTCTCATGTTCACCTGTGTGTCTCACACCGGGGACAGTGCCTGGCAGACAGTAGCACTCCACAGGTGTCTGTGGGACCCGTGTGTTCATGAGCAAATGAAGCGGCAGAGTTTCCTGAGGAGAAGTGTGGGGGTCTTGGCCTCTGATTTAAATCCCGCCTTGGGCACCTCCTAACTATCTGACTTTGGGCCATTACTTGGCTTCTCCTAGCTTCCGTTTGCTCATATGTAAAGTGAAGAAATTAAGGCATACCCCTCAAGGCTGTTACATAAATTAAATGAGGTAATTTATTGTAATACCTCGTATTACAATACAAAAATGTCTGCTCCACAGCGAGCACTCAAATGTTCACTTTTTTTGTGGGTAAGATGGCATCTGAGGTTGGGTTGAAATTGGACAAGAAAAAATAGAGAAGGATGTTTAAATTAAAGCAGAATGAACTGCTGCAAGGCTGTGAGATTAGAGGCAGTCAGGGACTCAGCAGGGAGCTGCCTGGACATGAGAACGGGCTGTGAGAACCTAGGGTCACAGAGAGGCCAGGCCGCGGGGCTCACGAATGCCAGACGACGGGGTCCGACTTTATTCCACAAGCAGGACAGGAGATATTTGAGAAGGGAACTGTCCAGAAGTTGACAGGAATGATGGAATTATGAATTATAGTACCCTGAAGAGAGGTCAGAATTGAAAACAGATTTGGGAGTGGCTCGCATGGTTTATCAAGAAATCAGCAAACTGATCAGCGTATACTGAGTGTTTGCCACAGAGGAAACAGAGACTGACAAGGGCTCCTCTCCACAGTCGAGGAACTTGGTATTATGCTGTTTAACGCTTACTTTGCTAATGAGTATATACAATAAAGTAATTATTTCTTCTCAGACGTTTGCCAGGTAGTCTAAATCTTCTCCAAGTGTACAGATGAGTGTGGGCTGAGTGGAGCTGTCAGAGAAGTCTCTTGGAGGTGTATGCCTTGAGCTGAGCCATGAAGACAGGAGTTAGTCACTGCAGGCACGGACAGAAGGGCCATTTGTCCCAGCTAAAAGCACAGCTTTGCAATCAAGAGGCATCTGGGTTCAAAGTTTGGTTCCACAACTTCTCATGTCCTTGAGCTGAGGTCTAGTGGAGGAGTTAAGTGGGCCAAGAAGAGATGGAAAAAGTACTCCAGGCAGAGGAAACAATAGTTGAAGGCCCCGTGGAAGGGAGCGTAGCATTCAGGAGGATTAAGATTTGGTGGCTGGAGGAAATACTGGGGTGGGGGCACATAATTGGGGAGGTGGGAGGGGGCCAGACCTTTCAGGATAGGCTCTTGTAGGCTACGTCCAGGATTTTGTCCTTTTTCTAAAGGAATTAGAAGCGATTGAAGTGTGTTCAAACCGGGGGTGTCATGATTAGATCTGCATCTGGCAAAACCATTCTGGGTGCAGTGTGGACCTCGGCTGAAGACAGGGAGATTGGAAGCAGAGAGACCTGTCAGGAAGTTAGGGCGTTTATCGGATCTGGGGTGGTGGCCATGGAGGTGGAGAGAAGTGGATGGATTGGGGTATGAACTCTACAGTGCATCGAGATAAATTGGTAGGGTGAAGGAGACCATATGACAAGGTTGACACCTAGGTTTCTGCGTCATTAGTTGGATGGTGGTGTCGTGCAGTTTACATATAAATATGCTAGAAGCTCCACAATGCATTGTCATTCCTTTTCTCAGTTGTCAATTAACTTTTACAGAGATTTAAATTATAAAACACGCGTTTTGTTTGTGTGTCCGTGTAGTGACGTTTTTCAGTGCTGTCTCCTTGTGTAGATCCATATCTTCGTTTCAGATGTATGTGAATGGTACCTTTAAAAATTTCTTTAATTTCCACTTGTTCATTGCTAGTATATAGAAATTCAGTGGCATGTTTTTCATTTTTTATTAACTCTGCATTCTATGACCTTGCTAATAACCTCATTTTCTTTTCTTAGATCTGGAAACATTTTTGTAGATTCTTTTCTATTTTCTAGGTAGAAAATTATATAGTCTTCAAATAAAGACATTTTTGCTTTTTCCTTTTCGATCTGTGTGCCTGCCTTTTTTTCTTGCCTCATTGCATCATCAAGGACTTCCAGTACAGCGTTGAATAGGATTAGCGCGAGTAAACAGCCTTACCTTCTTGTTCCCACAGGGAAAACATTTCTTGTATTCCATTGAGTCTCTTAGCAGTAGGTTTTTCATACATACTCTTCATCTAATTAAGGAAGTTCTTTATTATTACTGATACTTGCCTTTTTTCTTTCCTTTTTAGCAGAAGACTCAGAAAGTGGCGTTTACATGCGATTCATGAGGTCGCACAAGTGTTACGACATCGTTCCAACCAGTTCAAAGCTCGTTGTCTTTGATACTACGTTACAAGTAAGTGTGCCCAGTTTTCATGAGTCTTTGGTGTACTGTTTGGATGGCTGCTTTTATAAGGTAGTGTGAATCCAGCAACACCAGCAGACATTGTTGAGTCCTTTGTGCCTGTCGGGCACTGTGCTGAGGTTTCATCTGAATTTTCAGTCTTTGTGGCAGCCTTGTAAGGAATGTACTGTCACTGTCCTTTTTCTATAAATAAGGAAACTCAAATTCTAGAGTGAAAGAACTTAAATCGCAAAGCCTAATCCACACGTTGTCGAATTTAAGAGCTGAATCCACAGAACTGGTGAGCGACGGGGTCAGGAACTTGAGCACAGGTCTATGCCATGTGTGATGGAGCCTAAGTCGTTAACCGTTAGACTGTAGCGGCTCCTTTGGGAGATCCTGATCTTTTTTCTTAGTTATTTAGTAGAATATATATAAAGAAATTTGAAATAATACTGGTTAAAAAGAAAAAATTACTAGCGTGGGTAAGCTCTTGAGAGAGAACTTAATTGGTCTCTTTTTAGCAGAAAATTTGAACCTGATCATTTTGGTATTAAGATTGAGCTTACTGCAGCTCATTTTATACCAATGTGACTTATAATCATAAATGAAAAGTCCTAAATAATACCTCAATGTAATGATCAAATTACATCCAACTTAGATAATAAAATGTGTGTATACACGTATCTACACGTATGCATTTAGCGTCTGTATTTATATGTACATCTTTGCCAAGTGGGATGGTGTTAAGGTGTGGTCCCAGCGGTAGCCGTGGAGCCTGGGATTCCTGGGCAGTCGGGCTTCATTCAAGTGCAGTCCTGGGAGAGCCCGCCGGGCCTGGGGGACCTGGATGGGGATAGGGGGGTCTCGGGCAGAGATCCGTGGAGGGCACCCCCGCTGGCTCCTCAGTGGAACTCGGGGGGTCAGGTGCCCTTTCGAGTCCGTCCCAGTCCCTTTCAGACTTGCCCAGGCTGGGCCAGCTCTGCCGGTGCTCTGGGACCCGCCCCGCCCCGCCCCAGCCCACTCTGGGGCTCCCAGCACTGCCCCTGCGGCTCTCCTTCAGAGGCGCCTGGGCTCTTGGGGCCACTTTGCTGCATTCAGTGCCTGCTGCACAGGGTTCTCAGAAATGTAAAAATGGTTTTGTTCTTAATTTCATTTTCCACTTGTTTTTTGTTAGCATATAGAAGTACAACTGATTTTAGCGAACTGACCAGATATCCTGTGACTTTGCTAAGTTCACTTCGGACCAGGTAGCCTTCAAGATCCCTTCTAAAAACTTAAGATTCTCTTGTTCTCTGACACTGAGGACAGGGAGGCATCCCGTAGTCTTACAGAAGGGAAAGCGGCAGACAGTCACTTCTAGGAAATACATTCTGCCACTGTAACTGCAGATTTCAGTAGCAAAACAAATAGAAGTTCTCAATTCCCCCAATAAAGAACTACCAGAGCAGCCCGTGCTCCCACCCCGCCGGAGGCTTCCTTTTCCAAGCACCAGACCTCCTGGCCATTCGTTTTCCACCAACAGCAAAGCGACAGGAGGTACAACCTGTGTCGGCTCTCACTTCCTCAGCATTTCCCTTGCTGTGAAATAGACTGTCTTCTGAATTTAGAGTCCAGCCAAAGTGAGTAATACATGGAAAATGTGACGCTTTATGGGTTGTCAGAGGTCCCTAATCCTGTAAATGTCATTTCCCTAATTGATGGGAGCTGCGCATGCATCCTCTCCTGGAAGCCACAAATCCCGTGAGGCTCTCGGCTTTGAGGGAGCTAAGCGGGAGCGGGGGATCTTTTGGCGCTGGTTACAGCAAAGCTGAAGATACGGGTGAAAGGGGTGAAGGGAGTGTCTTCTAGACACAGACGGCAGTAGTCGTTGATACGTCTCCAGAGCAAAGAAGGCGAGCAGGAAAGGCAGTACAGGGGTGGCAGCGTACCGGAAACAACCCGAGTGTCCCCACTAAGAGACTACTTAGAGCGCTTCTGTAGAGGCGTGCAGTAGAATACCATGGAGCATTTAAGAAGAATGAAAAAAATGTTTGTCAAGAATATATTTATTTTTTAAGTTAAAAAAGCAAGTTGCAGAACAATACGTATTAAGACCTAGTTATTCTGAGGGTACAAAGTATCAGAGTCATAACTGGTCTGGGGACCAAAGTCAACCATTTGCAGGTAATTAAGGCGTTAAGTCAGAGAGCAAGAGGGCAAGGTAGCCTTGAGGCACATTGGTGCTGTGCCGGTCCAAGCACACGGCTGCTCACGGTCCTTGTAAAGTGGTGGGGAGAGAAGGGATGTGTCCGGGCAGCAGCAGCAGGTCCCCCAAGATCCACATCTGGAACAACCGCTGCACTGAGAGTCACCGCGTGATAGTGTTTACAGTAATTCCAGGACACGCAGTCACATGCCAGACAGGCGGCTTACCTGGGACGTGGTGTAAACCTCCTCTGCCTCTCCTCATCTCTGCACTTCCCCCAGGATGATCGCCTGCATCTGATTGGCTAGCCTGGCAGCAAGAGGAAGTTCCAGAGGCTTCCTTCTTGGTCCTTCTTACCACAGTGCCCCTCCCCCATGGGTCTGAGAGCCAGCGTAGGGGTCCTGCCAGTCGTCGGGATGTCATTTTCAGTTACACATTCAGGAACTGAGGAAGTAACCACAGCGTGGTCTGCAGAGCTCCTGAGCCCCTGCTGGTTCACCTTAGGCCAGGACTCCACCTGTCACCTGAAGACCATAAGTCCCCCATTTCACTAGTGACCACATGGCATTTTGAGTTCTAGTATTGGCATCCTTTCAGAGCAAAGGTCTAGTAACCCTGAAGAGCCTGCATTTGCTCTTCCCCAGTGCATGGTCATTCTGGTAAGTGGGGGAGTAACAGTATGTGCAGGGGTAGAGCTGGAGACCGCTTCCTCAGGGACCTGGCCTCCCTCTGAGTGGGGGCCTGGGTCTGTGAGCCAGCAGGGGTCTGGACACTGGCTGAGAGGACTCAACTCCATTTGATGACTTGAGTCAGGGTTTTGGCCCCTAGATTTAGAGTTTTTCTTATTATATAGGTCAAATGTAAGCCTTTCAGAAGGCATTGCATCTGTGTCATTCCTAGGGACCCTGTAATCAGCTAGCCACCGCCACACCACCCGTGGGTCACAGCATGCTCATCACCGCACACGTGCTCACCCTAACTCAGGCAGGTCAGCACCAGCACCTGCCTGGCCACCACAGGGCCCGACGTCCACTGGACTCAGTGAGCCGTCCTGGGCGCCATCTCTTGCCCTGGTGTCTGGCCTGCAGTGCACAGCCAGCATGGAGCTTTTCAAGGGTGGAGGGGTTCCCCCTCCTCGTACAGTTCTCAAAGGCTGGGTGGGGGCGTGACCTCTGGGCCCTTTCGGGGAGTATCTCTGGGGCCCCACGTGATGAATCTGCCCTGAGCCTGTGGATTCACTCTTCGTTATGCCACAGAAGTTCTGGCATCTCAACCTCGTTAAACACGGACTCAGCAATGCCCTGTATTTCAGGCAGTCAACCCAGAGAGCTTTATAGCCTCTTCCAGCTACATACACTAAACATTAAATCCACTTTTCTGGTAAGCCCCCCTATATCAATAAATTCTGCCAAATCTGCTGTTAAAGTCCACCTTCTTGGTCCAACATTATTAGAAGCTGTTCTCACGCTTAATTCCCAGATTTCTGCAGGTGTGAAACAGCAAAACCTTACCATTCTTCCCATGCATAAGCCGTTCCCCTCTGGAGCATACTGGAGTCCGCAGTCACAGGTCCAGTGGCAGCAGAGCAGCTGTGGTTGTCTGGAGAATGATGCTGGTGTAGAGCATCTGCCCAGGAAAGCTTGTTACTCGGCTTCCAGGGGAAGAAAGGTGATTCTGACACTGCAGAGCCAGCTGTTTGCACTGCCGAGGGAGGCTCAAGTAACTCCAGGACTCAGGAATCGCAGCTTTGTCTAGTCCAACTGATGTCCCTGTGCTGGGTCCTACGGTCACACTCCTTCCTAATTAAGGTCCCAGTTTTGATGTCAGAGACGTTGTGAGGCTGTGAATTCAGTGATGGTGAAGTTCTGCATCCGTCAGAATTACATTTTGTGTCTGATTTTGGAAATATCAGCCCTGTAGCTACAAGATAAAGGGCTTTTTAGGGCTGCCGTAGAGCCTCTCAGGTTCTCCAGCTGTGACCAGAGACCGTGACCTGAGCTTGTTGTTTCTGCCCTGTACAAGCCCAGCGCGCTTGCAGGACGACGCCCGCACCAAGTCCTGTGGTCCTCTTGCTGCCATAATGGCCAGAGCAGCAGCCGCCTAGATCCCGGCACCCCTGGGGGCAGGGGTGGTGGTGACACCACAGTCACAGTGACTCGTTCCCTCTTGATGCTACTGCCTGCCCAGGGCCACCGGGATCTGCTTTCCCACTGACCAAGAGCTCAGCACTGTGTTCAGGACAAGGACGTGAACCCAGTCCCAAATGCTCTATTCCCAGAACCCCGTCTGGTACCACTTTCTGATTCGGTCAGGGGCCAGTCAGGACACAGAAGCCACACTGGCCATGGAACAGAAAATTAACATAAGTGATGTTAGTTGGATATCAGTTAACTAGATAACGGAAAGGGTAAATACGACCTCTAAGGTGGTATTCTCAAAGTGTGGCTCCCAGACCAGCAGCATTCCACATCATCTACATTATGGGAAATGCAGATTCTCAGGCCATCTCGGACCCACTGAATCAGAAAGTAGGGCTGAGGCTCGCTGCTCCATGTCTTACCAAGTTAAGTCCTTCTAGAGATTCTGGTGTGAAAACCCCTGCTGGGAGGTATCATGGAGGCCACAGGGGCCTCTGGTGCCTTCTGAAGAGGATGCCTTCGAGCTGGGGCTGTCTCTGGGTGAGAGCGAGGGCGTGGGTGAGGCTCATTCTGCACGTATCAGGAAAATGACGGACTGGAAGGAAATGGGTGCCCAGTGGAGCATCAGTGCTAGGGTGAAGCCCACAGGGACTGCTGTGGACTGAACTGTGTCCCCTCCCCCTCCC